GCAAATTCATTTCTTCCAATCTTTTAGGCTTATATAAGCTTACCAACTTCTTCCTACTCCATTCTAACTATTTTCCTTATGCTTAAATTAGCAATTTCAAAGGATTATTGTAACATGTAAGTGAAAGTGAGATTTATTTCAGCTAGTTGGTAGATGCAGGGGTATCTGTCTTAATCACTTTGCCTGTGTTTCCTAAGGTTTGAAATATTTTATAATAAAAATATTAAAGAGATGCTTACGCCTTGGTGGAAAGGGACATAAACACACTGCCGACAATAAAACAAATAATAAGTAAAGGCACTGGTAAAGATGAACAGTTCTAGAAATGAATTCCTAATCCCTACCATCACCACCAGTTTACCCCCAAGAACATAAAGCAGAACTGAAACCAAGATAGCAGTCAGCCTTGATGGCAGCTGTCTTTAAACTTTAATTTATGCTGCTCCTTCCCATCCCTCATACTCTTCTTAAGTCTCCTGTAATAACATAAGAGTCATGATGCGATGTTCAACAGATCTCTACCCAAAGATTTAAAACTACAATCACATATTGCAGGGCTACTAGGTGAAGTCCACTATGCCAGCTGACAGGAAGGATGCTGCCGGATTTGCCTCACCAAACAGGGCAATTCAAGAGACTTGTCTGAATACCAAACTGCAGAAGGGAAAACCCTGACACCTAGTGCCCATCTGAAAAAATGAAGCCTTGGAGCCACCTATGATTCTTAAGTGTGGTCGGTAACATGAACGGCAGTGATTATCAACTTCCATTCAATCTGGAGTACACTTTTCTCATAAACAAATTTTTTTTTTAAGATTTATTTATTTGTACATACAGAACTGAGTTACAGGCCAGAGGCTAAGGGGTGGCGAGAGGCTTCACCAGAGACAGAGTGGGGAGCAGAACAGGCAGATCTACGAAGTACACTGCTGAGGGGAGCAAAGGGCAGGTCAGGAGAGGTCTGCTGTGCCATGTGGTCTCATAAACAAATTTTAAGGAGGAAAAAAATCAGTACCATGAAGGAATTCCAGTTGCTAATTGCCAAGCCTATTTGGTGCACATGTCCTGAGCCTTATGATTATAACTGTTTCTAAACACAACACCTTGTCATTTCAATTTTTCATTATGACAATAATGATATGAAAGAATGGACGGGTTCATATTCTTAAAAATTCCATGTTCTGAAATAGTAAGGAAAACAGACTTCTCATTTTTATCCATACTCAAATTTCTATGGAAGTTGCCTCTCTATCATATCTTTTACCATTGCCAATTTAGAGATTCATGTTCTAGTTCACAGAGCTGTTAAAGGAAATATAAAACAAAGAATGCTGATAACTTATTTCAGAACAAACAAGAACAGTCTTAGGTCCTAACAGACAAAGTTGTTTTTTGTCAAGTCAGTTACAGCCCTGGGCTTGATCTTAGCCTGAGCCTTTTAATAATGGGATTTAGTGTGAAAAGCAGCTGCATTGGATGTGAACTGTTACTCAAAATGTTCCCACCTGCAATTACAGCGTCCACCAAATGATCAAAACATGTTAGCAGATTGGCAGGAAAATGAAAACAATTACTCCAAAATGAAGAATTGTAAAAGTAGAACCACTGGTTCACTGCATTTCTTCCATATCCTAGTTCAACAGCACAAATACATCTAACTGTGTATTTACATACAGTGCCCATCACTGTAATATCATCACAGCCACAAATGAAGTCAGTTTAGTCTAAGTTGCAATCACATTTTCCTCAATTTTCGACTTTACTTGATACTATTTAGAAAATCCTAGACAGCCCATCGTTGGAACTATTTGCAAGGAATGTACTTCACAGATTTAGTCTATATCTTTTTTTAGCCCTACTCTAAATTCACACTAAATGCAATGCCGTCCAAATCTGACAATGAGAAAAATATGTTCTCTTATACCTTTCATCATGCCTAAGGTGGCATTCCTTCAGTTGTATCTTTCTTGATGGGTATGGGACAACTATAAAAATAGAAAGGAAAAAGCAGCTAACATGGCACCAGAAAAGCTCTCTTTCTCCTGCTTTTAACATGGGCACAATGTTCAAAATGCAGGTCACATCTTTGCTGAAACAGCCAATATTCTTCCCTAAATGGCACACAAGTTACCTAAAACTAAATGGAACTGAATTGTTCCAAGTTCTGGTCCCATCACCATTTTACCTATTTACTGTCCTGGAAAAAAAATAAGGAAGAAAGACTGGCCACCCATACAGCCAATGGTCTGATAAGTGCAGGTTTTCTGCTTTTGATTATGGGGAGCAGCATCTCAATTCATGAGGAAACTCTGCAGGAATCTCTTGTTTTACCTTTATTTCTTATATCCATGTGCTAGCTTTTAAAACCCAGAAACTCCAATCCTTCAAGGTAATGCAATATCACCCACATGATGACCTGGTGGAGCCATCACCTTTGGAGAACACCACATTATGATGATTTAATGTCTATGTAGCATCAATGCATTTACATTGAGCCTTGGCTCTCATAACATTAACAGGTCAATTTTTTATTCCTTTTTTAATAAAACTATTTCTCAAGGCTCTGTTCAGATGCCCATTCTCTTTGGGACAGGACAGATTTGCTCCAAATCTCATCAGCATGAGCTCTTTTCTTTCCCCTCACATCATTCTTGGGGTAATATGTAGAGTGCCAGGCTCATGACAAACTTGTCTCTTTGACCAAAGAAAATTAAACTGCAACAGCTGAAAGTCAACTTGCCTTGATAAAACTGGGCTCAGCATGAGGAAATACATCCTTCTGACACCTCTTCATCTCTTAGGCACAGCTGTCCCTCAGAGTTCTGACTGCTGAAACTCCATCTTAGATTGGTCAGTTTCTCAGTGGACATGCTCCATTGTATGTCCAAGCTACTGGTAACCGAGTTTGATACTAATACCCCAACCTCATTCCTGTCTGCAGCACCCTGTAATCTCACTACAGCCACTGACTGACTTTGCCAGCCATCCTGGGCATTAGTTGCTTACTGTACACAAAAGAACATCAGTCTCATTCCTCCAGCGCTCAAAGACTCAGAAACTGCAAGCAAATACTCAGCCTCAACCTACTCAATCATGTGAAGGAGAGGAAAAGAGAACAAAGAAAACAAGCGACTAAGGAGGGCAAAGAGTAGAACAAGAAGAAAGTGAGAACTGACAGAAAAGAAAACATTTTTAAAATGCTACTGGATTTTTAGATTTGAAGGTATTCAAGCACCAGGTAAAGAAAAACATGTAGGTCCTACACCAACTCTACTATACACAGCTATTGTCCTATGCAGCTGTTTGAGATATCCCTTTTTCACCAAGGTTTGTTGGGCCTTAAAGGGTTAAAAAACCTTTAATTTTTTTTATCTGTGTGTGTGCGCGTGTGTATGTGTGTGTGTGTGTGTGTGTGTGTGCGCGCGTGTGTGGTCTTTGGGTACAGAGTCCGTATAATAAGACTATTTGTATTCATACTGGCAGAGTAAACACTACATGTTCATGCCCAGGCAGCTCTGTGCTTGTAATTTCAGCAAGAACAGAGCTCTGTCCCTCTGGGACTTCACTATTCCCCTAGTCTCCATTCGCTCAAACACAGAATGAGAGCAGAGAGAAAGCAGGAAAGAAAGATCATGGCAAGAGGTTTCACAAGGCACTGCAGCTAGCTGTTACGTGGCCAAAAATCTCATTTTGTGTTTTAATTACATTAGTTAAAACCGTTTTTCGCTCAGCTCCATGTTCACAAGGGTGCCTTCCATGTCTTTAGACTACACTGTTCAGCAAATCAGAATTTACATCTAGCACAATGAAGCTCTTCTTAGCTGTTAAAGGGCTCAGTAAGCAGATGCCACACGCAGTGGCACAAACCTCTGCTACAACTTTGTGTGTTAACAAGCATGTAGCTACTCAGATCACAACTACACGTGCTCTTACTCCCTAGACTCTGGTCTTTCCTATGAGTTGAGAGACCAGCTAAGTAGAGCTCCTACAAGTCTGATGTTTTTGCCTGATCCAATGTGTGCGCCCAACTTATCATCAAGTCATCTACTTTGGGCAACCAATGTTGTACTTACAGAAACAGTCACAGACCCTGGATATACAACATATTTTTAAGAGACTTCACAAAATAAAAAACCTGCATATTATCTCCAAACATGTAGCTAGCTTATTTATGGTGAACACCCAGGTAAAGATTACTCCTAAGAGTTGAGACCTATCTAGAGAGTATATCCAAGGAACAAATAAAACATTTCTCTTGTTACATTAGGACTACAGTTAAAATCAGGAAGAATCTCAATGTAGGGAGTAGGACATAGGGTATAGGCAGAATATGACTTTATATCAAGAATATATCAGAATATGACTCAAAGGCTAAAAAATGCATTCTTGTATGACTTTCAGAAATGGATTCTCTGTTATTCTCTTTTATGTCTTTAATCCCTTGGTTCTGAGTGAGTCCCTTTAAGAAGGCTTTATTACCATGCATAGCACCAGATCACTATCCGAGCAAGGAAAATGTACCCCAAAATGCATATTAGTATCCCAATAAGTGTCCAAATAAGGAAAATCATTAAGAAAAACAATAAATGTTTTTATCACAGGAAATCTCAAAATTTTAAACATATACAAAAATAGAGAAACCAATCATTCTTATGACTATCATCTGGCTTTAACTATATGAACAATCTTGCTTCATCTACTCTCTTGCCCTCATTATTTTGTAGCAAATCCTAGACAAGAGACCATTTCATCTATAATTATTTTAATGTGGGTATAACACAAAACAATACTTTCAAAATAATATTATCACACCTAAAAAATCAACAATAATTTCTTGACATAAATCTGGTATTTTCTCTCTAAAGAATTCTACCACCAAGAATGCTACACACTACCTATGCCACTTGGATCTAAACTAATACTATTTAGTGACCCATCCCATGGAAGACACACTAGTGTGCAGAGAGAAGAAAAAGGGGAGGGGGATTCCCACTACTTGCCTCATTTCCTCCTGGAAGCCTGTTCATGTGAACCAGTTGACCTTGATCATCTAACACAAGTTCAGTATACGTCAGCATGTCAGAAGGCAGAGGGGGTGATGGAAGGAATGCTTGAGTGGACATAGACTCCCACAGTTTGATCAGGGACTAGCAGAGGAGAGAAGTTTGAACAATCTGTGACAAGTGGCATTTCAACATGGACAAAAAAAAATATTTAAAAATTCAGTCAATCTGGGTTTGCTCTTTCTGTTCAAGTTTTCTGCTGAGCGTCTAAGTGTTAGACCAAATTCTATAGCTTTCATTTTCAGTTAAAATAGATTTGTAATTATTAATCACATCATTTTTTTACATGCCCTAAATCAGGTACTTTTCTAGTAAGACTGAGTGATTCTGAATCAGTATTAGAGCATTAAAAAACACAACAGACCCAACAATTACCTAGGAAAATTAAGGAACTAAATAAGTAGTATCATTGATCCCCTTAAAAGAAATGCCCCAATAAAAATAGATGAATAACATGACACTCTGTTAACTCTCAGTTTGAAAAATCTGGGAAGAGGCATGTTTGGTGGGCAGTGGCAAAAAAGAAAAAAAAAAAAAAACATGAAGGAAAGAATAAAATTTCTAGTAGTAGTTCAGCAACCTCTTTCTAATATGAGAGCTACAGAACCAGATAAAGGAATTAGCTCAAACCTGTATATGTGCAAATCAATTCAGTTCAAATTTGAAGAAAATAGATATACCTATCCATTTAAAAACCAAATCCTTCATGAAGTGGGATCTAGTTCAGTTTTTTCTTTGTCTTGAAGCAACATTTAAAGTCAATATGACTATCCATACCTACATATCCCAATGACTATTCATACCTACATATCCCAATCACTGTGCTTATGTCTATCCTATTGGCAGAATTACATAGAATGTGTTTTCTATTTGTAGGACTGACTTTGGGAAAAAGAATAAACACTCAAGTTTTAGGTGGCTAATATCAACAACACTGTTGAAGACAGATATGTTTCAAGAGACAAATGGTTGCATAAATGACATCTCTTGTATTTGTAAATAATATAGGAAATATAGGTAGATTATTTACCACAACCACACATATTACTTTATTAAAATCCAAATGTGGTAATACTGACAATATTGGAAAAATCCTTTACTCAAATTCTTTAAGGGCAAATTTAGTATTCTTTTCATACCTTATTCTTTATCTATTGCATTTTCTGCTGGTGATATACTTTTCTTGCCTTCTATTGATGGAAGAAAAATCTGCAGCATAGAGATGATTCACCATACAGATCAAAGGAATTTATTTTCATATAGAGGATGAGATTCATAATGTCATATTTTCTCATGCTAGTTTTTATTCAGCTATAATAAATCTCCCACAAAAGAACTGATACTTTAAACTGTGTACCATGAACTCTATACCCATTTGTATATGCTATCTATACTGATTCTCATCATATTAACCTGGGATATCAGCTAGGGACCTGGGTTATCGTGGAAAACAGAAAAATGAGAAGTAGTATTTTATACCTTTTTAAAAAATATCCCTAATTTGAATACAGATTTAGGAAATATACACATGAACATAATTCCACATGTAGATCACTGCAAACTACTGTCATAGGTACATGGTCGCAGTTTACTCCGTTTTATTAATAAACTTCTAATCTCCTGCTAGTTCAAAAACATCTTACATCTGAGTTGGCGGCCACTAAATCCCAAGTAAGATAGAAACATAAATAGTGTCAAGATATTTCCTGCCCTTTGGGAGAGTCCCTTCCCAATCAAATTCAGGAAAACCCCTGCCTGTCTGGAATAGGTCAGAGCCCTAGAGTAAGACACTTTTACCTGCCGAAACATCTCTGGGATATCATATATATATGTTGTTCCTAAAGACTGTGCCTGGAACCTCTTTGATTGAAGCAGGTCTTTGGTCACATATGGAGTGTTGATCAGCATCCCATGTAATGGTCCCTGTTTGTCACCATATGCCTGAAACATAATCTGCAGGAAAAGAGAATGGCAGGGGATATAAGAGAGACAGAAAAAAATCAAATTGCTGCCTAGAAGGGCTTTTTTTCACAAATGTCTTTCTTAAAAAACATTTTTGGCAGTTGAGGTGCTAAAGTACAACTCTTTTAACAATGGGCTTTGGGACTGTTACTTCTCTTCATATTTTATTTTTTATTTTATTTTATAACAGTTTATTTTTACATCATTTTGTACATTTTTTTCCCATCTCAATTGTAATCCCCGCGCGTTTCCTATCACCATGTCACCCATGTGCCATCACCATAATCCCGTACACTTCTGTCCCTACCCCCACTTCTCTTCATATTAACCAACACCAAATAATGGTATGTGACCAACTGTAGGCTGCTCTCACTTTCGAATTAGTTGAAACCAACAAGAAAGCACAGTGCAAATTTCACATCTCAGAGACAGAATAACAATGCTTGCCCTGCAAAGTGACTGAAATCCCATACACTCAGAAATGAAGTAAGTCAACTAACCAATCCAAATAGTCCCAGCATTTAAGTTGAGGAACAGCTATGCCCTAAAAAAACTCTTTTCTTTCCTCAATAGGAGAAGGCCTACTTCAGTCCACTTTAGTCTACTTGATTAGAAAGTTGTTCATAAATATAATTAGTTACACAAAAGCTTTAAAGATTTCTGCCAAAAACTAATTTTATCCATCTATCTAGTTAGTTCTTGCTACCCTAAAAGATACAGCATATAGTAAAATAAAAATATACATATTTAAATTATGTTTTCCCCATTATATTACATCTACAGCTGGTGAATAGGTTCTGCTATACTTATGCCACATAATAAAATCACACCAGTTTTTAATCATTTTAACTCAAATATCTCTAGAAGAGTACTTCATATTCCATAAATTAGTTTTATTTGCTTATGAATATTTATAAGGGATGCTTTTATTTCCATTCAATTAATATTTATTTAGTGCTCAGAGGTTCTATGTATGACACTAAACTAGGCACCTTACGCATGAATACGTAAAAACAGATTCCCAGCATAATGAATACAAATGAAGATTTTGATATATGGGCATATGCATGTATACTTATATATCTCTTTGGGCCTAGAATGTATACACTTAATTATACTATTAATGAACAGATTTGTGGACCTGATATACAATGACAAGATTACAAGTTAGTCCTTTACTAAATCCTGGGCACAATTCAGCTAAGTAAATCCTTAGCACCTCAGTTCCAAGGAACATGTGTGTTCTGCTGACTTGTCAATCAGATCCTACTTTGGGGAAAACTTGGCTGTAGATGCATAAAGCCCCACAGAACAGAGCTCTCAGTACTATTCCACATGGTCAATGGTGACCATGGGGAAGGTAGAAGTAGTAAAGCCTTAAGAATGTGTGAGATGGAATGTAATGTCTTAAGAGATTCAAATCGTTAAGTGAGGCAAAGGTGTTATGAGAAATCTGGACTCAGGAGACTCAAATCAAAGCAAGAAAAAGGAGTAAAGCCATAGGTTCTTAGAACTATATTCTTGTCTATTGGGGGTGAAAAGAACCTGTGAGTAGAGTTTCAATTTTGCTAATCTCTGGAACGAAGTTAGGCTGTTAACAGTTAAGCAATATAACTGTGCACTGAGAAGGGGGCGTGGGTTGAAGAAAGCTCTCTAGGTGTACTCATTACTGATCGGAATCTAAAACCACAACTACGTTGGCAGTTTCTTATAAAATTAAATATATACTTGCTATGATCTAATAATTACACTCTTATGTATTTACTTAATAGAAATGAACCATATCCACACAAAGATTTGTAAATGAATGTTCACAGTAGCATTATTCATAACTTTAAAACAAAACCTCAAATATCTGTCAACAGGCCAGTGAATATAAAAATTATATTATATAGCAATGAACTGGAATACTATTCAGCAACAAAGATGAATCTAGCCACAAGTTATAAAACTTGAAAGAATCTCAAAAACACTAACCTGAGGAAAAGAAACCAGATATAAAATAGTACATATTGTCTAAACTCACTGCTATGAAATTCACTCAGGCAAAACTAATCTACAGTGATAGAAAGAAGGTCAGTGTTATGTCTAGGGGTGAGGCTGGTATCTTTACCTTCCTTCCTTTGGGTTATCAAGATACTCTATGAAGTTTGTGATGATGGTTAGATAGATTCTAACAGTGTACACTGTTAGAATGAAATGAACCGTACATATAAAATGAGTACATTTATTATATGGAAGTTATAGCTTGATAAAGGTGATTTTAAATGTGTATTTTTTTCTTTACACATTGGAAATCAGTTCATTTATGCAAGAGATTACTCAAATCCCTTCTCTTCACTATGATGGTCTGACGTCAGGGTTCATTATATAATAGCACAAAGACTATGCAAAGAAAATGAAACTCAAGTCAGTCAACCTTGTTCTTTGTAGACAGAAAAAATAATGATGTGCTGGGACAAGAGAGTGAGAGTAATGGATAGTACAGTTAGACTCTGAATGCTAATTCCATTTTCTACTGTAATGAACAGTAATTAAAAACTGGTAAAGCATGTTTTACAAGTTCATGAAAATATGTACACACCATATATCACATGTTTTCTCCCATAGACCATTGAGGGATTCTCTTAGAAAACAAACAAATCTGATTCCATATAATCTGCTCCTTTATGCTCAGGTTAGTGTTTTTGAGATTCTTTTAAGTTCTATAACTTGTGGTACCTTTACCTTTGATCTGTATTTATTTTATGATGGTGTATTTATACCACAGAGAAACTAATTACCTGTCTTCTTTCATCATGATATAAATTTGAAATTAACAGATCACTTGACATTGTTGCTTCCATAATGTCCGACATACTATACCTGGTCAATAAATGTTAAATTAATGGACAAGTCATAAAATCAGCGATTGTTGGTTCCTTTCTCAAGTCATGGGTTGTCAAGTTAGATCACATGTGACAGCAGCTGTAGAGTCCCTGAAATGAAAAGCCTGAGGGGAACCTGTTCCTTCAGGGCTTCCTGAACAGACAGCACCCATGGTAAATGGGGTTCTCCCTCAGGCTAAAGGTAGCTCATTCCCTCTTTCAGATACTTAACTCAATGTCAATTTTGTGCTAGGCCCTGTACTACACCCTGACTGAAGGCATTTGTACTTTTCAAGCCCTGTGTCAACACTGGTCAGCATGAGGGAAACATCAGAGCTTTCTGATAAAAGAAAGGAAAAAGAAAAGCAGTTATGAAGAACAAACATATTTATCAAAAACATTAAAATCTCAAGTGGTCGCCTTATTTTTCACAAGAATAGACCTGCCTTGAAGCCATTGTAAAAGTTAATTAAAAACATCCCTGACCACAGAAAGCTTTGACTGAAAATGTCTTTAAGTTTGTCCTGAAAAACAGGACAAAATGCAGCAAAAATTACTGAATATTCTTTCTTTTGTTCAACCCTCCCCCCCACACACACACACACTCTTCTGTGTACTCTCTCTCTGTCTTAACTGTTCACTTCTCATGGGATAGATGTCTCTTGCCATCTAACTGGGAATCAAAGCACAAAATAAAAGGTTGCTCTGACAAAAATTCACACTCAGGTTTTTAAAATTTATCTTCAAAATACTGGCAAAAAAAAAAAGCCTTCCTCTTTTCTCTGTACTCAGATCTAAAAGGACATAGTCAAAAACAAGAGACTTATAATCTCTTCCTGGTGCCTTGTGCACAGAATAGACTGAAACATCTGTCTACACATAATGGAGCAAATTAAACTTTTAACCAGAAGAAATGCACTTGTCAAATTCAGACCAAAAAGTAAAGTAAAATCCTAGTTCTTAATCAGACACTAGTAATGGTGAACCAGCCTAAAGTTAGTATGACCCAAATGTTTAGAAACTAAGGTGGTAAAACAGATTAAAAGGAAAATTCTCTATTATCACAAAATTAATCTATTGAGAATCATTTTCTAGTTTCACACTCTCAATTTTTCTAGCTGAAAATGGGTTAATATTTTCAGCTGAAAATGGGTTAACATTTTCAGCTTTGCACTTTATAGACATATAATACTCTGAAGAAAAGACAGTATACATGGATGGAATAACATGATGGGTAAATACGATAGTCAATGTTTGAAATGACACAAGCTATAGATTACATTGTATTTTTCCTTCCTAAAGACATACTTCAACAATTCTGTCCCTGCTGAGAACAAGAAACACAAGTCAGACCAGACAAACTAGATGGCACAGGTAGTCTAAGGACCCTAAGCTGCAATCACACCTGGAGGCAGGTTCACTTGGTATCTGCTAAGGCTCACCAAAACGTGACAAAAGGTTGAGGATTTTTTAATATACATGATCAGGAACACAGCTCCATCTCAAAATGCACATGAAATTTCAAATTCATGTAACACTTAAGCTAGTAGAGCTAAATAACCCCACTAAATAAACCAATGGGATCTGTGTTGGGTCTTCCATGAAATAGGTTAAGTGGTTTATCTGTAGGACTAACTCAAAACTCTCAGGGGCTCCTGACTACCTTACCTGTGCTGTCCTGGGATCAGTCACTTCCTTGTACAGGCTGATGTCCAAGTAATAGCCAGACTCGTTCGTCAGGAAGAGGCGGATGGGAATTGCTTTTCCAGTAGGTGTCAGGCGAATGTTGATCTTCAGTTCTGCCTGGAGGACGCGTAATTTCCACAGCCGACTTCCATAGCGCATTACCATGCTCCGCACAGATTCCTCAATCTGACAGACACATCACCAAGCACAAAACTTAAATACCTTGTAACAAAGTTACAAGGTATCTTTGGATACCTACCTATCTTTGGAAGGGAGTATCTGCCTATCTTTGGAAAGGAGTAATGGAAACATGCTGGTTTCTGGTGATGTACACTCTGTGTGAGCCTTACAAAAAAATGAGTTTCTTCCCAACCCTACTCTTGCTTAGAACATGTCAGGGACAGCTTCATGCTGGTCTGACATTTGAGTGGTCTTCTCTGGTTCATAATACCAAAATCTGTGTCATTCCCTCCCCCTTTCCCAATTATATTCATATTATATATATCAAAGATCTGTAATATCTAAAATTACAAGCCATGGGATTTAAGAGAAAGCCCTGAATAAGAATAAAATTTCTAGCTAAACAGCTATTAAGTTGCATTTATATGCATGGTAACTATGTTTCATTGCACTTACAGGACCTTAAATCAACATAGCAATTACCACCTCGAGCTTTTTCCAAACAGTTTTATTAAACTATAATACATGCCTCTTGGTAAATTGCACAAATTAAAGATGGGCAATTCATAGGTGGTACTAGAACATTCTCTCTAAATACAGTTTGGAAGTTTGGTCGTTGCCAGCTCTAACTGGGATTTAAGTAGATGGGGCAGATGACCCTGCTTTCTCTTAAACTTTATACAGTTTTCGAACCCGACTTTTCAGTGCTAGGAGAGTTAGAAAATGTCTTAGTTGTGATTTCTCCTAATTGACTTTAAAATGAAATTGTTTTCCAATATGGCGGCAGGAAGCTAGGACATACTACTCCAAGTTAACATTCTTAATTTCTTAGAAAAATCTCTCAAAAATATCTGACTCTCATGTGGTACACCTCAAGAAAGGGCTGCGCTTGAAGTTTGTTTCTGCACCAGAAAACCTTAGGTCAGAATAGATTTCAGGAAATGCTATTCCCACATTTACTTGTTAGCCAAGAGATTTATAGTCATTCTTTTCTTGAGGGAACAAAAGTCACCATTCCCTATCTACAGGGAATTGACATCTGTCTACTATTAGAAAGGCAGAGTCAGGGCATACAGATGCTTAGAGTGGAAGCAGAGACACTAGTATAAAAAAAACTCACTAAGAAATACTAAGTCAATTCTAAAAATATGTATAGCTACATATAAATATTTAAATGTATGTGTATACACACATACTTACATATATGTGTATATATGTATGTTTGTGTATGTGTATAAAAGCAGAGATGGTATAAGCTATATATGTCCAGGCAATGTTTTAAGTCTACCTGCTGCATCAATCCTAGAATGTTAAGGAGAACCTTTGCTTGGTCTCGATCACGAGACTTGGTAGTCACTGAGTAGTCCTGTCACTGGCTTTCCTGATAGACTAAAGCAACAGACAGGCAGTTTGAAAAGGTGGGGGGAAAAAATCAGGAAAAACCTCTTATGTCTTAGTACTATGAGATTAAGAAGCAAAAGCCCATGCTACAATGGAGACATTGGTTCTCCTCTACAAATTCTACAATATCATGATGGAAGGAGGTTAGAAGTAGTAACCTGTTTTTATTACACCTGGGATAAAAGGTCAAGTACAGAATCACTTTACTTTCATTTCTTAAATTATATGAAATGCATTTCAGAATAAAGCCTCAGGGAAGAAAACATATAATACATATGAAATTCTTTATCAACCTTATTCTCTCCCTCTGGAAAAATACTAAAGAGAAATAGGTTAGACACACTGGGAGGGTACATTATCTCCCTAAGGCCACCAGGTAAGTGATATTTAGGGCAAAGAAGCAGTAATGTTGTCAATGCCCAATAAAAGCAAATTATTTATTCCAGATGAGAAATCACAGGGAATGATGTAAGACAGGACCATTATCATGGCAAATATCATAAAACAGGTACCAATGCAGGAAGAAAAAGAGGTGTTATGTTTTTGTATTGCTTATGAATGACCAACAGCATAATATTATCATACTACCATCAATTTTGAAAGTCTGCTTGCTCTCAAATTTCTAACACCATCCCTGAAACATAGTGTTATAAATATTCAGTAAATGTTAAAGGTCAAGTACTCAATCAACAAACCAACAGCATCTGTTTCCAGGACAAAGTGAGAATAAGTCTGAATCTCCCTGGGATTGGTGATGCTGGGAGAGAAGCAAAGGAGACATACCTTTGATGGGTCCATGATGACAGTGGGCACAAAGTTGAGGAAGATGTGGTTGCAGTCAGTGCGGACATTTGTATTGTTAAAAGCAACCTCCAGCTCATCCATAGCTTCCAGGAGCAGCCGTTCCCCTTCATTTTGTAGATATTCAAAAGAGGCTTCCTATGTAGAGAGACAATTACCATTATCACTAATGCATTTTTTAACTACCTCTTTTTTTTTTTTAAGATTTTATTTGTTTATGCATACAAGAGCTGGGTTGTAGGTCAGAGGTGTATGTGTGTGTTTGGGGGGCAGAGAGTGGGTGAGAGGATTCTCCAGAGACAAAGTGGTAAGTAAAACAGGCAGACTGCCTGAAATACACTGCTGAGGCGGGTAGTGGGTGAGACAGGAGGTCCGCTGTGCCATGTGGGTCAGCTCCCTGGCTGGGGACTGAACTCATGCTGCAGTGGCTGCCAATAGCTTCATTGTGCTGAGACTTAATCCCTTGTGCCTCCTAGGAGGGCCACCATTAATGCATTTTAAGAGGCAATAAAGAAATGTTTACTGTCACTGTTTAAGCGGCAGTATGCTGTCACTCATACTGTACCTGGTGCAGATGTTTGCCTTTCTCCTAAAAGTCCCAGTGACCACAGGCAGCAGGGGTACGTCAGGGTTGGCCTGAGTTCCTGCCCTTTTTCTTGTCTCTTAGGGGATCATCTCCTTTCAATAGGTGGAGATGCTGAGAGTCCCCAGAGTTGTAATCCCATCAGGATTATATTTTACATATGCCAAGCAGTGTAAATACTTCAAACAGAGCAGTTTGGAAAGGAAATTCACTTAGAAAGGAAAAGTTGAAGAGAGGTGATGAAATGGATGCAGTATTAACTAACAGTACAAGGTGCTGTGCTGGAGAACTCTAGTCAGGTTTACAATGGGATTATTTTGTCCCTCTCCTCTCTTTATCACCTAACTCTCCCTATGATTTTTCTGTATGGTTGCTTTATTTTCTCATGTGAATGCTTTCATACTTCCATTACCAAGATAAATCAAATTAAAGGGGGAAAAACCCTTTGTCACATGGAATATTCTATGAGATGAAATGACTCTCAGACTTCCAGTTATTGGAGTGGGATGAAAGAAAACAAGAGCCTTTACTCGAAAAATTAAAACCTTATCTTGAGCCAGCCTGTTTTTCTGTTCCTGCCTTCAGAATAACTTCCCTGTTAAAGGACAGCACCCACCTTGGTAACCAGGTCAGAATGTCTGATGATTGCGCGAACAAAAAACCTGTAGTCTGTCACTTCTGTGCCCACTTCCACCTTGGCCGCCCCAAGATACAAGTGCATCTTGTGATTGGCACACGGAATGGCAGTCAGGTCAAAATTTCTCATCCGGTTCAACTCCAACTGGAAAGCTAGGGCAGGCTCCAGGTGACGGTAGATACGATCCTCCTCAAACTGAGCACAAGAGTTGGAGTAAAAAAACAGCCCACAAAAAGCAAAATTAAATTAAATTATAGATGCGTATGTATAAGAGATGCTTAAACACAGACACATAAACTATGACATACCAGAGAGCAACAAGTAGCTACATACTAGAACAATGCTACAGCTGATACAAGATTAGGCCCGCCTCTTTACTTCCCAGATTTCCACCATTACGCTTTTATTAGTGGTGGTGTTTTCCACTGAAAACAAATAAAAACATCAATTCCCTCAGAGCTGTAGCTTTGAGCATGTTTATTATAAAAATTTGACAACTAACCACAGACTGCTTCACATTAACTACTTCCTCTACCAGTTTTGGATTTACCCAACTGATCTACAGTGTCTATGAGGATTATATTTTACATATGCCAAGCAGTGTAAATACTT